TATGGGGTTTTTTCCATTTCTGAATTATATGCCTTCACGTGCTGATGATTACCAAATTTTCCTCCTATTTCCGTCTTTGTGTCTTTTGATCTGTTTTTCCTTCCTTTTTCTCATATTTTTATTTTTAAATCACTAGTGAATTCATGGACACACATTAATGAAATAATAAATGAATACAATACCAAAGGAGACTCAGAAATTCAATATTGTGGCTTGTATACTGGGATGCATTCTTGAAACAGTGATAGGTGAATTTTCAACTTATCATTATAGTCAAAATTCAGGATAGTTAATATTATTCTGGTTTGAAATGAATGTGTGTTATTTTAGCTTTTATAAAGGCAGAACTAACCTTAGCTATAAACAGGGAACTAATAAATGAAGTAATGAAGTTAAAGGAAAAAAAAAAACAAACCTTTTCTTTCATCCTGTCTAGGCGTAGAAATGATTGTGTTCAGGGCTAGGAGATTAAATTGTGTCACTTGTCAGGAAACTGGCAAGCAGCCATCCTTTCTGCCTGCTTCTACACTTTGCTTTTGTGCTGTGGATGGGTTTAATAAATGCACTGTTCTGTAAAATGTCATTGCTGCATTACCAAGTGGAGGATGTCATGTGATAGCTCTTCCCCAGGATGACATATCAATATTGGTCCCTGGCAATCTAGGGACTTCAAGCTGCACAGAGGGCATTTTTATGATTCCGATACAAGTATAGAAATAAAAATCATTCTTCAAAGCATGGAAGTATACCTATTTTTCTCTGAAAGAAAAACCTAATGTTCTTTCCAAAACGTTCTTATTTTCAAAGATATGTCATGCTCTCAAATTCTAGAAGGCAAAAAATAAATGACTGGTAATATTTATTGAAAATTTCATCTAACTGTTAATCAAATAAATGCAAAGGAAAGCAAAGAAATATACCTTTATTTTTCCCCTTGGAAAATAGCCTCAAATGATATATGTGCAAGCACAAAAAAGTACTGATAACCAAGTATAAAACAGGCCATCTCTAGCATTATTGGTGGAAGTAAGGAATTAGACAAGGATGTGGTTATTGGGGGTCATCTTAGAATTCTGCCTACCACAGTTGTCACTCTTGGCTGCCACAGACTTGTGGCTCAGGTTCAGCATTCTGCTAAATGTCTGGCTCTGCAGATAACAATGATTTTGAGGACTTCACATTTTACTTAGCTCCTTCCTACCTTTCCTTTATTTAATCTTGCCATTAGGCTTCCTGAGATACATGCAGTGTACCAATGAGACAACTGAAGAACAGAGAGCTTAAAAAGAACCCCAAAGTCACAAAGCTAGGAAGTACAACCTGGAACCCAGTTCCTCTGGCTCCAAATATTATGTTCTTTTTTCCCCCCACATCTCTTTTCTGGGACAACCACTGAGACCACAGCTCAGTTAGAAGTCTGTTCTATTTACAGAAAAAGTTACTTCTCACTTTACCTGTACTGAAAGCCTACACTCTCACTTTATTTTGGGCATAATTTAGCATCCGCAGGAAAGTTTTATATAATGTTCCCAGGATTCCTAGAATGATATGTGTGTGTGTGTGTGTGTGTGTGTACACATTTTCCATTGCTACCTAGAAGATCACAAATTTAGCAACTTGAAACAACACCTAGGTCCACTTTTTAAGTGGCCTTTAATTTCATGTCAGAGTATGACCTAGAGAAACAGGGATAGGAAAAAATAGAAACAAGAAGCTTAAGGGAAGGATATAGAGGGTGAAAGGAAACTGAAGAAAATGTAAAAGGGATGAGAGAAAAGGGAATAGAAATAAGGAGAAAGAAATAGGGTAGAGGAGAGGAAATACTACTGAGAGGCACAGAGGTTAGAGGAGAAAAAGGATGGTTTAATGTTGGTAAAATTTAATGAGCACCCACAATGTGCCTGGCATAGCTAAAGACTTAGGGGAATCTCACTGAATTCTCAGAATATTGAAGTAGTCATTACTATCACCATTTTACATAAAAAATGGCAAGTAAAAGAGTTTAACTTACCCAAGGTCAATTATGTTAGTATATAGACATTAGCAATTATATATTTTTTAGAATTTATTGTAATGTTCTTCTTTTAGAACTAACAGTGAAATTAAAAAAAAAAAAATACTCTTCAAAGCTTGTTGGTCCAGCCTCAAACACTGTTCTTGTTACACTGAGAAAAGTTAGATAGGCTTAGTTGGGGCTCAAGGGTGACTATTTCATAACAGTCATTTACAATGTTCATATTTGAGTCAATTGAATTCTAATTAAAACAGATCCCTAAAATGTTTTATTCCTCAGGTTGTCACTCTTCTGAGTCTCAGCGTCCCTCTATGTAAAATGTGGACCTTAGCCAGGTGTGCTGGCATATGCCTGAAATCCAAGTGGCTTGGGAAGCTAAGGCAGGAGGATTGGGAGTTCAAAGCCAGTCTCAGCAACTTGGTACTAAGTAACAAGGAGACCCTGTCTCTAAATAAATATTTTTAAAAGGACTGGGAATGGAGGTCAGTGGTTAAGCATCCCTGGGGGGTCAATCCCTAGTACCAAAGGGGGAAAAATGTGGATCTTGTACTATATTTTAAATCTAAAAATCTGTATTTAATGTTATACTGAAAGACTTTCAATTGTTATTCTTGAAATCTCAGATGTCCCCAAGCCATTCAAATGCAAAGCAGGTAGCCTTAAGTGGGGAAGAATCTCAGCAGGGTAGCAAGGATCCATCAGAATGAGTGGAGGCCCCAGTAAGTATTTTCCCTTAGGAAAGAGGCCAGTAGATTGGGGCACAGATGTATTTTGCTGCTCCAGTTAGGACCACTGTAAAGAAATCTACAGGTTGTTTATTGTAAAACCCTGGAAGGTATTGTTCACACACACTTTCCTAATCTTGGATCCAGGAAGCAGAGCAAGGACCAATAAATAATCAGAATAAAGGAAACTGTGGCTCAGTAGAAAAATACCAATGCCTCACACATAATAAAAGCTCAATCAATGTTGCCTCTCTTTATAATTTTCATCTTTACAACTAATACGGAGCTTTCAGAAGACCAGAATTCTCTTTATCTCTGTAGACATGAGATTGCCTCCAATGCTTGCAGACAAAGAATGGTGGCACTCTCAGAGGTGTCACTTTTCATTCTTAATTGAAGAGCAGGCATGTGACATAGTCTGTTCTATCTCAAGCTGAGAGGCAGCATTTTTCATAGAGAAGGTCCTATGAAAGGACCAGGTAAAGGGTTCAACTGATGATTGTGGCCCACTGATTTCTTCATTATTCCATGGTGATTCTATTGCTAAACTTTTAAAATAGATCTACTGCAGAGTTGAGTATAACAAACTCAGTTCCTTCTGTGTTTGACTTGTGGAATTATACAGCCACCCAGGCTGCCCACCCGCCTGCCTACCTGCAGTCCTTCCCTTCCTCTTTTCTTTCTTCCTTCCTTCCTTCCTTCCTTCCTTCCTTCCTTCCTTCCTTCCTTCCTTCCTTCCTTCCTTCCT